TTAATGCAGTGTTTGTCTTTTTGCAACAGTGATATTTCATTCAGAATAATGTAATGCTTTACCAGTTCATTGTTTTTCCTATGCTATGTAATATCTATTGTGTAAACATATTATAGTTTTTCTATCCATTTTTTTTTTGCTGATGAGCACTTGGGATGTTTTCATCTCTTTGCTATTGTGAATAAAACAGCAGTAAACATGGGTGTGTATACACCTGTTTGAGTCACAGCTCTGGTTTCTTTAGAGTATATTCCCAGTGGTGGAATTGCTGGGTCAAATGGTATTTCTTTTTTTATTTTTATTTTTATTAGTTTTTGTGCATGTACCGTCAAATTGGATCTGACTGGTACAGGAGGAGATTGACCCTCCTTCTCCAGCAGAGCATCTGATGGACTCGAACCTCATACCTCTGGACTTGCAGTGCAGCTTCTTACCACTGGGCCACCAGAACTCCCTTTCAAATAATATTTCTATTTCCAACTTTTTGAGATAGTGCCAAACTGCCTTTCATAGTGGTTGTATCATTTTACACTCCCACCAGCACTGAATAAGGGTTCCAATCTCTCCACAACCTTGCCAGCATTTGTTGTTTGCTGCCCTTTTCATTTGTTGAACTTTGCTATTGTTCTGGATGAGATAGTATTTCATAGTTGTTTTTATTTGCATCTCTCTGATATCTAGGGATTTTGAACATTTCTTCATGTGTTTGTTTGCTGTCTGAATGTTTTCTTTGGTGAAGAGTAAGTATGGCAGCTAGAAGCTTGAATTTGTTTTTCAGTTCCTTCAGCAATAAAAGCAAGCGAGTTTGTCCCTTCTTATTTTGAGTTCAGCTCTCTTCACATTTCATTTTAATACTTTGCTTTGTCTTCTTGAGCTGCCCTTTAAAAGCTTCTGTTCAGCTCCTTAACTTCCTATTTCTTTCCTCTTTGTAATGGAGAAAGGTCTTTCTCCTGCTCTTTTGAATAAAATGTTCGTCTCTCAGATATTGTTCTAAAGCTGAGTGTCCAAACTTAGACAGATTAGGAAGAAGGATTGACCATCCACTTGCAAAATAACAGGCTTTCGAAAACCCTATAAACAAGAGAGCACACTTAGAGTAGACTAGCAGATATGGAACTGGAGGCTGAGACTTCATAATGGAATCACAAATGAGGAGGAAGAGCTGCAAACAGACCCTAGTTAATAAAATATGTAATGTGAGAATTATGAATGTAGGAAAATTGGAGATTTTAAAGGAAGAAATGGAAAGCATAAATATTGATATACTAGGCATTGATCAGCTGAGATGGACTGGCATGGGACATTTTGAATCAGACAATCATATGATTTACTATACTTTAAATGAAAAAGTAAGGAAAATGAATTCAAATTCATAGTAAAAAAGACTATTTCTAGATCCATCTTGAAATACAACATTATGAGTGACAGGATAATAGCCAAACACATTCAAGGAACACTTGTTGCTGTCACAATCATTCAAATTTATGCACCAACAGCCAGAGGCAAAGAGGAGAAAAGAAAACATTTCCACCAACTTTTGCAGTCAGTCAGAAATTGATTGAACATGCAACCAAGACCCATTAATAATAACTGGTGACTGGAATGCAGAAGTTAGGAACAAAGAAGATGGATTAGTACTCAGAAGATACAGACTTGGTGAAAGAAATGAGTCTGAAATAGAACACAGGAATCAGATTGATTACATCTGTGGAAAGAATCACTGGAGAAGCTCAGTATCAGTTGTGAAAACTAGGCCATGTGCTAACAGACCATCAACTACTCATATGCAAGTTCAAACTGAGGCTAAAGAAGGTTAAATCAGATCTACGAGAGCCAAAATTTTATCTTGAGTCTACCCCACCTGAATTTAAAAACCATCACACCAACAGTTTTGAGGCCTTGCACACTAATGAATGAAGACCAGAAGAGCTGTGGAAGGATATCAAGAATATAATCAACAAAGAATGCAAAAGGTCATTACAAAGACAGAGGAGGAAGAAAAGATCAAGATGGATGTCAGAATATTGCACTATATTGTTGATGTTGTTGTTCTTGTTAAGTGTCATCCAGTCGCTGATGATTCATAGCAACCCTGTGAACGAAAGCCTTGAACGCAAAAAACTTTGATCTTTTCTCTAAGCTCTTAAAAGTTTCTGGAGGCAAGCTATTTCAGAAGTGGATACCACTCCAGCTTCGAAGCCTGTTTTGAGTGTTCCACAAAAACCAGGCTCAAGGGCTGCAGGACCAAGGGCCCAAATGCCTTTTTAAATACTAGGCCAAATCTAATCAGCTCATACCCAGTAGCTCATCTTCCAAGACTTGAAAATAGCCCCTGACTGGCAGCCAAATGCCTATGTGTAATATAGCCAACAATGAAAGTTGTAGATGGCTATTATCTCAGCGATTTAATATAGCAGTTCTCAACCCTGCCACACATCACATACAGAACCTGTAACAAAAACCAGTACATAAGCCTCACCTGCTTTCATTGCTGTCAACACGGAGAGACCCACAGTGGCCCCTCCACTGGGGCTGCAGATCAGAGGAAAAACATTACCCTCTTTCTCCCGAGGAATTGCTGATGGTTTAAAACAATTAGAGAGATGCTTCCTCTGGGTTAACAGCACTGATCCCTCAGAGCTACACTACCAGAGCTCTCAGGCCTCACACTGACAACTTCAATAAGAATCTTTGAGGGTTTTCCGAAATGAGGTTTTTCTTAAAGCTCTGCCTTCTCCCCTTGCAGATTCATGAGTTGCTAGGGTGTCTTAGTTGTAGCTCTTAGGTTTTTGTTGCTGTTTTGTGAATAATCTTTTAGTGAAATATGTATATATAAAGGAACACGGTTCAAATCCACCAGCTGCTCTGTGGGAGAAAGATGAACAATGTTCTTCAGTGAAAACCTGCTGCAAGGTCAGCTGTGAGAAGATTCTAACTCAACAGTATGTAACAACACATAAAGAAAGACAAAAATATGTATTCATTCATTGCTGCACTTCTCTCCCCCATTTAAAGACTTTTAAAATTTCTTATAATTAATGACATTCAGCATGTTGTGCAACAATCCACACAATCAGCTTCCAAGTTTTTCTGCACCCTTAATGAAAACTGGGTAGCCCTTAAGCACTCATTTCTCCCTACACCTCTCCGAAGTGCTAAAGAGGTAAGTTTAAAGACTAAGATGTCCCTGATCCAAGCCATGTTCTTTTCAATTACTTCCTACTGACAGTATCAGCTGGAAGCTGGACAATGAATAGATGACAGAAGAAATCAGTGTCTTTAAATTGTGGTATTGGAGAAAAGTACTGAATGGTCCATTAATTGCCAAAAGACCAAACTAGTCTGTCTTAGAGGAAGTGTAATCAGGTTGCTCATTAGAGGTAAGGATGATAAAATTTCATCCCACATACATGAGTATATTGTCAGAAGGGACCTGTCCTTGGAAAAAGACATCGTGCTGGGAAAGATGGAGGGTCTAAGAAAGAGAGGAATATCCCCAACAAGATGAATTGACACAGTGACTATGGGCTTAAGGACGACACAGGATAGGGCAAGGTTCAGATCTGTTGACGGGGTGCCTGTAAATCCTAGCTGATTTCATGGCACTTATCAATAACAAACCAATACAGTTTGAGGCTCAATGTCAAGAAGAAAAAGATTCTCAACACTGGACCAATTGGCAGCATTAGCATGGATAGTGAAGAGGTTGAGATTGTTCACAGCTTTAGTTTGCTTGGCTCCACAGTCAACACTCTTGGCACCTGTAGCCAGGAAATAAAAAGACGTTATTGCCATGGGAAAGTCTGCTGTTAGGGACCTCTCCAAAGTGCTGAAAAGCAATGGTGTCTCTCTGGAGACTAAGGTGCGTCTGA